TTTAAAAAACCGACCTGACCAAACCCTGATTTTTTTATTAAAAAACCCGACACGATCGGGTCGGATCCCGTTGGGTTCGGGTCCATGCCCGTCCCTAATTATAGATTAGGATAATTTGTGGGTTTAGTTTATTATTTCAGTTTTCAAATGAAAATTATTAAATGTCCAAAATCAAATAGTTGTGATTACAAGGATAGTTTAAGATGAACACATAACTGTATTTATCACTTACTAATATACAAGGAGCCTATATATCTTTCCTTCGCCATTAATATTGTACTTGTTAATATACAAATTGGCTTGTGAAGTCTGCCTTGCTTTGTGGTTAAACACCCTTCAACTGTACTCAAAATACACCACTCAGAAAGCCCCTGCAACAGCAACATTTGGATCGTTCAACATCAAGAGAGAAATCACAGTTAATGTAACGAGCATTCGTGTCGAGCTTACCAAAATCCGGACGCTTTCTTATCTTTATTTCTGTAAAGCGAAACCCGAATGAGATGATCACATTAGAGAGATTTAAATAGACACCACGAAAATTTACAGCCGTTTCTAATGTTTACAGACGAATTACCTTGGTTTTCCGAGGAATGCATCGTTGATCTCATCGATGGTTGGCCTTTCTGTAAAAGTCGATAACGGAACATATTTCTCCTTCCCTGATGGCTCGTCCACCCTCTTGTACAGTTCGTAACCATACGGGTATGTCATCCTGAAATCACGATGTGATAGTGCTTTACAAAGGCTAATCCAATGTAATTTCAACAGATGAAATGTTTGGACATAAGTAATGCCTCCGATGTTTCCGTAGCGAACGAGAACGACATCATGTATGCAATAACAAAGAGAATAAATCAACTCAGACTCTCAGAGAATGGAAGATTGCATTTTCGATCATCAGTTGCATGGGCGAAATATCTACATTAAGCAACATGTTCTTGACCTTTGTCATGCAATTTGACGGATCTCGGAAAATGATAACCTATACCTTATTGCACCATGATGGGATATTGGGTTCCGGCATAATAAAGAAGCCTGAAACAGTAGCAACTCTCGAAGGAAGCTGCATACTCCAGTCTCTTATCTCGACCCATCGTCTGTAATAAAAATATACAGTTAGGAACTCAGAAGGTGCCTGTTTACATAAGTGGGTAAAGAAATGTCTGATTAAATGTTTTATGCTACTATAATAACAATTGGTTACTTTAAAGAATTTTAAATAATATTTCCTTTTATATCCGAAAGCGTACTCGTAAAATTTAAATTTAAAACGAATGACTTTGAAGAAAGGTTACCTACTTGCATAATGCCACTTGAACCAGGCAGATCCTATCCCAGAGAAATTCAAAACTAAACAGGTCAGAAATAGAAATGAATACCGCTTACACAATACCAAAAAAATGGAGCAAGTTGAGTTCACCAAGATGGATCTTTTGCCGTGGTAAAGCCGAAACGGAACAAGGCATTTTCCGATGAGAAAGGAGGTTCATCTTTGATTACATTGTGTAAGCATCATTAATTTAACCTATGAGTGAGTTAGATATAAGAACCCAACCTTGAGTCTAGGATTGATGAGTATAACCGGACGTTTGCCAGCAGCATCGGTCATCGCTTTTAAATCCTTCAAATTTAGGAGCAAGGTTAGAAGCTAAAGTGTCAAGTATAAGGCTCTTAGAACAGCATAGTAATATAGATTCTTACATCTATAATGCAATTACCAACGGCATTTTGAGGTGCCACTAAGATGAACATATCATCTTCTTCACCAACCTCATTGGCACCTGTCGGTGCAAATAAAGCAAACATTAAAAAGAGAATCATATAATCATGCATGTAAAATGATACTCGAAACTGATCTAATATTCCGCAAAGCTACCGATCTGCTCATCTTTGTAATAGTCAAGCCAGCTAAAAAGATAAACATGAGACGGTAGTACTTCAAATACCTTCGGCATTAGCAAGCAGTATCAGAAAATCTACAGAAATATTTTCTCCAAAATTGTCTCATACCTATTGAACCAATATTGATAAATGTTCCCATGGCGCCATAATTGCCCCAATCCATGAATTCCAAGATCTTCCGGGTACCAGCAAGTGTAGGGGCATTCCTGCAAGTGCACCCTGTCCCATGGAGCCTTGGACACAAACCTGAAGAAGAGTTGTTGGAAATTCTGGACAAATGCAAGAAACATTTCCGGAAATATATCATTAACTACTAATAGTACCTTCACACGTTTTCCATCATCAGCAAATGAAAGAGCAATTTCTCGAACTAGCTCCATTAACGTACCTATACGGTAAACATCCTGTCCATCATAAGATTGGTTAGCCCAGTAGCCCTAAAGAAACTTACCAGGAAAATATGAGAGCAAAAGAAATAATGATAATCTCTCACCATTTCTGGATTCAGCTCTGGAATATTAATCTCCACCTGTTGATATAAAAAAAAGGAAAAAAAACTAATCAGACTTGCTAAATCTTGTGGCAAAAACAATGACCATGGTGCCATCTACAGTCATAATTAATTTTTCCGCATCTTCACTAAATGGAGAATTAGACCTTAGTTTTTCTATTTTGCAAAGAGAATAAGATTCAGTTAAACATAAAAAATAAAGTTATAATCTTGATTCAGAAAGACGGTGAAATTTGAAGAAAAAACCCCCTACCATTCATGTGCTAGTGATAAAAGTTACTTTGATTTCTACAGCAGGGCAATTCAATTCAACTAAATCAAGTACCGATATCTGACCTTCAATCGAGTTCTTCCATCATTTACAGCTCTCTGTGTGGCTTGCAGCACATCATCATAGAAATAATTCCGAATTTCTCTAGAATGAGGAATATTATTCAATCTAGTTGGAATTCCTCTCCATTTTTCCTGTCAAAAGCTAAAGAAAGTAAGAACAAAACTGAAACTTCGAGTGAAATGATTCTTTTTATTTCCTGCCTTTGAGTAAGCTGCACACAGGATAGTCCACTATTTCCTTGAATCTTCTCTACCACGGTGAAGGCAGGATTTTACTCTAAGGTCTTTATACAGTAAGAAAAGAACAATTATACTAAACTAATTGACACCTTTGTTAGATTGAAAGAGTTTGGATATAGAAAAGTTGATCATGACTATATAATTGTATAACTCTTTACCTTATTTGAAGATGCCTGATCTAAACGGCTCTCGGTTTGAAGAATTGGTTTCACTGGAACCAAGAAGGAACCAGGAAGAAGTCAAAATAGATAACTGAAGCTATAGTTAAGTGCAGAAAGTATAAGTCAGCTAAAATGAAGATACTTTGTAAATGTGATAATCATTATGCAATAGACAAACAAGAGAATGAAGTTAAAAATGTCAATAAAGGGTGAAAGTGTCCCCAAATGAGAAATTCAATAATGTACAAACAAACCTTCAAAATAAATCTGTAAACAAAAGATTTTAAATATTGCAAATTCCTGAATAGCCTTCGATAAAGCTTAATAAGAGTAGGAATTTTTTTTTATCAGTACACCAAGACAGTGCAAAGTAAGACCATTAATCTCCAAAACTTGAAATTCATTTCCACTTACCTGATTTTGTTGTTTTATTCATCTGCAGTTGAGATAACAAGGAGTCTATATCTTTGAAAACTGCTTCTTTTGGACGGCTACCATCAATCTGTGTGGGGGAAATTCATACAAATATGATACAAGTAAGAAGAAATAGCACAAGAGAAAGCATATTAATCTTCAAACCTTGTTCATTATGCTTTTGTAAGTAGATGAGATTGCAGCAGCATTTTGCTTGTATATTTCTAATCTTGACTTCACCTAAATAACAAATAAAAAAAGGAAGGGGGGAATATTAGGCAGCTAACACAAAGCACACGGTAAATTACATTGCATGAAATGAAGCAAACATCTATTATACAAAAATGGTACATGCAGCTTTCCCCCAATACTTCACCATATCTCTTCTTTCCTTTGGTAAGAGAGAGAGATAGAAGGGACCATATCCTTTCTGATCCTCCAATGAGTTACATTAGCTTCAAGTAACTCGGGGGAATAGAAGAACTGATAAGCATTGCAACAGCATGTGCAATTCTGATCAGTAAGTACTTTGCAAGCTCAATTCACTGGAAAATTCTGCAGGTCATGCTGTTATGTAATGAAGGCTGAACTGCTGACATGTCGCTTTACTTCCGGATAGGTTCATTAAGATATGTTTCAAGGTCAAGTTATGCTCCATGCAGGGCCGTCCAGGTTTGTCTAGTTTAAAATGAAGACATAAGATTTGAATTTTCTCCATGTCCAAGTCGTACTTAAAAGGTCATGTGTATATAACCATCAGTACATCTTGTTATTAGTTTTTAAATTAGTGCCATGCGAGAATATGAACCCTAAGCAAGATGTACTATTAAAATGCAAATTTATCTTCCATGTTACATTTCAAAGTTACACACATCTTGAACCTCTGTATCTAAGCCTATCAAAAGCAACATAACAAAATAATATAAATGATAACGGTAAAATAGAATCATACTTTCTCTTCTGTGTCATCAGCACGGGTAACCAGTCTTGCTTTAATTTCTTCTGAGTTGGGAGGGAAATGTTTCATATGGTAGATTTTCCCAGTCACTGGGTCTAGCCTTCTACCAACACATCTATCGATTAGAATTTCATCAGGAACCTGAATGTTAAGAAATAAAATAAATGTAAAAAGCATGTTTTTAAGCCATATATGTCCACTTAAATTGAAAACGAAAGATATAGATGCATTAAATTGAGATCTTATGCACATATATAGCCACTTTATGAACACAATTTATTACCCGTCTCATTTGATTGCCAAGTAACAACATACATGAGTTTGTGTGGAAGGAGGCTTTAAAACATCACTTTACATAGAATCAAAGATTTTCAAGTACTATGGTGGAAGTATATGTTGGTTGGATGTGGGTGTAAATGTTGCACTTAGGTATGTGTCTAGCATGGGACCATTCAGCGACTAATATCCTACGAAACTT